TGTTTTGCATTTAGGGCCTTGTCTAGAGGGCATGCTAGCTCTTGTTCTGTGAGTCCACAAGTCTGTAAGCACACAGGAGTGTGTGCATGTGTGTGTGCGTGTGTGTGTGTGTGTGTGTGTGTGTGGTGTTGGAAATGCAGTTGCATAAATAAGGGGGCAGGGTGGTGGTCCATCCCAACTGGAAGCACCCACAGTGGTAGGGAAGAGAGTGCTGGTCATAGGCCAAAGCAAGGCTCTGAGCCTTGGTGAGGGCCACCAGGCAGGTACAGAGGCTACATGCTTCTGATCATTGCCTTCTAGGCTTCAGTTTGCCTTGAGGTTTGAGCACATGGCAAAAACCCTCAAAGAGGAGAAAAATGTTCCTTCCCTTTGGCAGGCTTGCCACAGCTCCTGCTGATCTGCCCTTGCAGTCTAAATTCTCTAACTCCAGTTCCTCCAAATACAATCATACTTTCTCCTAGGATGGGTCCAGGGTGGCCCAAGTCTTCAGGTGATGATGAGATCCCATTTAATTAGAGGTAGGAGATGCTCCATGGGTAATTGGAAGCAAAATCATCCACTGAATAAAAGCATAGACAAATTCAGGCAGAATAGGGTTCACATCCCTGCCCTTCCTTGTACTTGCTTTGGAGCTAAGACTAAGTGAGATGATTGATACCTGTAAAGCAGGAAGCTGGCATCAGCCCAGCAGTGACACTGTAACAGCTGCCTTCACTAACATTGAGCTTTGAGGCTTTGACTTCCACAGTCACTAGCCTGGGAAACCATGCCCTCCCTCTCCCCAGCAGGTGGCTGCTGCTCAAGGTCCTTTAGTATGTCTTAGGCTTAAAGCCTTACGTGAGCCATTAGATGGAGACTGTGAACTCACTCCCAACCTGACAGGGATACGTTGGGCAGGTACTAGTCGCTAATCTCTGTGGTGAGTGTTGATGTAGAAAAGGGATAGATGGCTTTCCAGATCTTTCCACTGAAAGAACCCTAAAACATCAGCTCCTGTGAACTCCTAGCAATTCTCATCTTCTTTCTGGGTCTAGTTTTCTGTCCCAGGGGGATGGACAGGTTTTTCCACCTCTAGTCCCCTCTAAAGCTACCATTAGGAAACATGGCAGAAGCTTGCCTATAGGAGGAAAGGCATTCCCATGGCAGGAGACCATGAGGGATGAGGTCTCAAGGCTGGCAGATCCGAGGTCCCAGGAAGTCAAGCTGCAGACAGGCTTCCTATGCTGGCAGTCTGCCTGCCTGGTTCTGACATCCTTGACCCAGAGAGGCTAAAGTCCAGTCAGGAATCACATCGGGGTCTCCTCTGGTCTAATCACATGGAAGGTTCCACTTCAAGGCAAGGGGAGGCCCTGTGTCCCTATTTCCTGCATCTCTTCAAAGGTTTCCAAGATGGTATCTGAAAGCTCATCCTTCTCTCTAGTTGCACTTCATTTCACTGGAATGACTTAGAAACAATAAAATACCACTTGGGCTCCACAGGGTTTGCAAAATATGACAACCAAAAATGGAGGAACCTCCTCCATCGCACCCCCAGGCACAGGTACTAGCCCACTGTATGGACAAGAATGCCAAGACGAGTATGCCCAGAGCCTGGTTCACCCTTGCTCCAGGGCAGGCAGCCAACACAGCCTCTGGCACTGGCTTTGCTTCTTTTTGCTTCCCTTTGGGCTTTTTTTTTTGCCTTAGGTCTTTGGGCTTTTAGCTGCTAGAAACAGTTGAAAGTCCTGTGTCTGTTCCTGCTCCTTTCTTGTAGGAATGGAGAAATAGGACTGGAGGACAATGCTTGCCCATAGCCACAAAGCAAGACAGGGATGCATCCCAGGTCAGCATGGGGCGTCCGTCTTCCACCCAGTCAGAGGCCCTGTCGGCTCCAAACAGTCTTGGCCCCTTGGTGCCAGCCATCTGCAGAGCCTGGGAACACTCAGAGTGTTTAGTTTGGCCTGGAGGCTGCTTTGCCATGAGACAATTTTCCCCAGCATGAGCCCAGGAGGGGGTGGGGACCTGGACTGGGGACTGACTTTGTGAGCAGAATGGGCTCCGAGGCAGGTGGGGGTACTTGAAGGGGATCACCCCCTCCCTAGTCCCACCTCATTTCCCTGGGACTTCTTCCAAGCAATAAAAAACCCACTCAGGCTCCAAGGGAGAGTTTTCATCTTTGGTTTTCAAAGTGTGAAAGAAAATGCCTTTGGGCGCCTTGTGAGACATAGTTTTCATAACTCCTACATGGTCCTGTCTGCTGACGGCAGGGCCAGCTTGGGCCTCAGCTACCCTGAAGTCAGACCTCTGAGCTACTCAGCTCCCAGGCTAAAACATGGAACTTTTATGGACTTCATGTTCTGTAGTTTTAGGTTTGCTTTTCACTAGAAAAGAAAGGATGGAGTCTGAATTAATGATCCCCCCACAGGGAACAATCACTAATCTCCTTAAGGGAATGAGATTCAGTGAGACCCCAGACCAACCCCGGCAGAACCCCTCGCCCCCCCAGGGCAGACAAGCTCCCTACAAGAAGCAGCTTCACTCAAGACTTGCGAGGCTCAAGCAGGACAGAGCCTTGGCCAGCTCAGGCTGGGGAACCAGCTGGCCCCAGCCCATCTTGACTTCTCTTTTGAGCTCAGTTTCCCTATTGCAGAAGTAGGAATAGTAATGAGATGACGCAATGGTAGTGTTGAGCACCGTGTCTGTCAGCACACGACTGGTGATCCATAAATAGAGGACAGTATAGTAATAACAAGACAGAGGCATACAAGTAATAATGATCCTGAAAATAGCCAGCATCATCTCATGTTTTCCAGGTGACAGGCACTGCTCTGAGACCTCATAGAAAGAAGCCTATCCCACCCTCATATAATATATACTTAACATGTAACCAGGTTGGTAATGTGCAAGGGTTTAATTCTACCACGTGGTCTTGAGGGATGGTGGGTCACATCAGAGCCCCCCAGGGAAGTGAGTGAGGCAGGTATCAGAAGTGAGTGGGACAATGGTAGTCTGGGCTGGTGAGGAAGGCGGGGTAGAAGGTCCAGTCAGCCCAACACTGAAATCATAAAGGATCTCACATGGTCCAAAGGCTGACATGGGCAATAGGCAAACCACATGGATTCTGTGGATTAAAAGAGGCACTGGAAGCCACTTGGCCTACCCCCATTCTGCATGCACACTCTCTTCATATAATTTGAGTGGGACAAGAGTGGGCTCCCTCTTCTCCAGATAGCTACTCTGGAACTTCCCAAAGACAGATGCTCCTGTTACATCACACCCATAGACTCCAGGTTGGGAAGATCCTAATGCAAGACTCAATGAGTTCCTGTGGTCAGAACCACCACAGTAGAGTAGAGAAGCAGAATGGAGTGGGTTCCATCGGGCTGTATCACAGAGCCCAAAAGCCATTTGGATGCCCACTCCCAAGCCAAGGTCCTAGCCTGAATTTGTGAAGAGACAGGAGAGTGCCTGGTAATCTTGCACCCACCTAACCACCTGACTGAGGCTAACCTGAGCTGTGTACAGGTATCCTCCAAGATGGTAGGAACGATCCCAGCCCTCACTGTAGTGATTATGGCCTGTTGTGTGACCTTATGGACCAGCCCAGAGAATTGTAGACTAGGTGGCCCCAGATGGCCTTGTTAGTGAACAGTGCATTGGGGATGGGAGCATACATTAGGAACTTGGCAGTGCCCTACATGGAGGAGATCACCATGGGCTGCCTAGCCCATAGACATTGCCTACTTCATGTCCACTAGGCCCAAGAGTAGCAGCCTCTACTTGCTCACCTGCAATAACTACCCTGTATGCCTCACCTGCTAGCAGTACCTGTTCACATGTGAATCTTCTCTGTATAGACCCTTTCTCTTCGAAGCCTCTCCAGTGCCCATCTCCGTGTTTGCTGCTCTTGCATTTCCCTTTGGTTATGAGAGTTCACTGAATCTTCTGCCTGCAGCTCCATCAACCTTCTACCTGTTGGAGCTCCCTGTAGATTGGCCACTTCTTGAGGTCCCAGCCTCTTTCTTCATCTCAAGCTTGTCCCTCATGTGCACAGGTCGACTAGACATCTTTGTAGCCCCTTTCATCTTACTGTCATTGCCCCTGCCCCCCCCAACCCTTGCCTTGTCCTCTCTTTTTGCTCATCTATTTCTGTCTCTTTCCTGGGCCTGGGCCCACTTGGGCCCGTTCATTGGTTCGTGAAGGATGGCACCTCTCACTAACACACCCCACATAGGGCTCGTACCCCATGAACCTACCAGCCCACTTTCCTCTGTGAGCTGGATGCCAGGTAGACTGTGTGAACATATTTTCTCATCTGCTGAAAGGGAGCTATGAGACCAATTTCGAAAGTTTGTTGTAAGGACAAGAACAGTATTTGTGAAGTACTGGATCTGGGGATGCTCATTTTGGCATCTGCTGGTTATGTTGATGCTACATTAAAAAATGATGGTGGTGTTGTAGTTTCTGTTGTTCTGTTAGCAGCCTGGGATGGGAAACAGCAGAGGGCACACCTGTCACAGGTGTGGGAGCTGAGTGCCTGAGAACCCCCAGCCCTGTAATTCTTTCTGCCCTCTCTCTGGACTGCAACACAGGAGTTCGGCTGGACTGCCTGTGGGGCCCCTGGGCTGCTCATCCTCCTCATCCAATCCCTTTGTTTCCTTCTTTTCATAAAGACAGATCTGAGCACCAAAGGCCTCTGCCCAGGACCAGACTTCTGACAGTCACTCTGCCCTGTGTTTCTTCCCTTCCAGCACCACCATCTCACCACCTCCACTGCCTCTCCAGCCCACTCCCAGCTCTGAAACTGCCAAGCCCCTCTTCCAGTTCTCGGACCAGCTCCAAAAGCAGGACTCTTTGGGGCCTGCCAGCAACTCAGCACCTACCCTGGGCCTCCTCTCTGCAATCACCGTAACTATTGCTGCCCCCTTCCTGTTGCATACCCTCGGGCCCTCCTGACCTCGGCCACCACTTCAGAGAAGCCAGAGAAACCACAGTGGGTCTGCAGCCACATCTATTGCCCCTGCTGCCACATTTGGGGGGTACCTGACACCTCGAGGCTGTCCACACAGGACCGCTAGTACACTAGAGCTTTATTGTATCCAAATTACATCTTCTTTTTTGTAGAAGGTCTTAATTTCCCATAGTGCTATGGGGCTCTTTTGTAAAATATGTGTCCATATTAAAAAAGAACAATGTATTTATTCTACTGATAAAACTATTTTTATGTGACCTATGTTGTGATCCCTGAATTAGCCCCAATGCCAACCTAGGAGGGAATCTTAGGTTGCCAAGACATCTGTGACCTCTGACCCATGATCATGGCTTTATACAGTCTTGCTTGTAGATCCTGGGAATGTCCCAGGTTGGAATTGGCTTCTCCCACTGTGGGGATCTCCGAGGGCCAGCTTAGCTTTTGTGAAGCTGTATTTGAAGGCTCAAGGAAGGCATGGATACTGACCGTCCTCCCCTTCCCAGATGTATCTGGGGTCCAGGAAGATGCTTTAGGAAAGAGAATGCTGCTACTTTGAAACCTTGAGTGTCTGTAGACTGGCCCTCCTGATCTCTGAGTGAGTCTTTCAGCCAAATTGGGGGCTGAGGATGAGGGATGCTAGAGCTGAGGAAAGAGACCCCAGTCGTATGGACAGATGGTTACACTGAGATCCAAAGAGAGCAAGACTGCTCAAGTCACAAAGCATGTGGGAGAGTGAGCCTAGGCCTCTCTGTTCCTGTCACTGCCACTGGCCCAGCTTGGGTTCAAGAGGGACTGTTGAAGTCATAGCTGAGTGAAGCAAGCTGGACCAAAGGACAAGGATGGGCACAGAGGCAACTTTAGGGACAGGACTGTTAGGAGTCACCTTTTGTGGTAAAAATGGGAACAATAGCCATTTGTCCAAAGTCAGCAGTGTAGCAGGTATTTCGTGCACCTCCTCCATCACAGATTCTCACACAAGTGCTGTGAGTTAGAATAGTCCCTGTTTCACAGTGTGACATGAAAAGTGACATTTGTCCTGTGGTCTGTGTTCTGCTGTGTTGTCTGTGCCCCGAGGAAGCTCTAAGCGAGGCGGCTCTCATCCAAACTGGTATCTGGGCTTCCCCTGCCAACTACAGAGACTATATGACCAGTTACTCTTCCTCTTGGTCCCCGTGGCCAAGAGCTCTGGCAACAGCATGTGTTATTTGTCTCTGCCCACAACTTGTCACATCTTAGAGCCTAATGGGAGCCTTCACTATTAAATCAGAGGCTAGGGGTAGAAACATAGCTATTGAGCCTCCAGGAGATAGAGCAACCAGAGGGGGCAGGTAGGCAGGTGAGATTCAGAGGGGTATCTAGCTGGTGGCTGAGGAGATAGAGGACCCAGGAGGGCCCCAGTGCCATTAAGCCTACCTTGAAGCACCTGCTTCCTTTTTGAGATGGTAGAATTTTGAGATGTTCATTGGATGGTCCAGAAGTTCCCATGGGCATTCTGGCAGACAACTGAATTCTTTCCAGCTCAGCCTCAAGGAACAGGTTTGAGCCTGAGACCTGGCAAGAGGCTAGAGCTCTGTTGGAGAGGGTCTAGTCAGCCCCATGGGCATCATACGCTAAACTGAACTTGACCTCAGCCAGGCCTGGAGTCAGTTTATTCTTGGGAGGAAAAAAAAATATGTGACTTCCTATTTCTGAACGGGAAAGGGCTTAGCTGACTTATAAAGCAGAATCAGAAGTTGGACATCAAACAGATCGTGCAGAGTACTATTGGGATGAGATAAGTGTAAAGGAATTAGAAACACACAGGCCAGATTCCCCCTTGGTTTGGGGCAGTGCATGGCATGAGATGTATAAGATCTAGCTGGAGGCTAATTAAAGATGAAGCATTTAGGGAAACAGTCCAAGCACCTGACCATGTGCCCAGATCTGTGCCAGGCATGAGGCCAAAAGTATAAATTAATGCAGCATGTAATTACTTTGCATACACTGTGCCAGGCTTACTGCACATGGGCTGGAGAAACTATCAAGGTGGCACAAGCAGCCCTGTCCTAGTTTATATGTGTCCTGGCCTCTGACTGCTCAGTTCAGACTGCTCATTTTTCCAGATCTGTCCTCTAGAAAGATTTAGAGATGGAAAGTCCACGTTTCTTCCTCTAATCCCAGTAACTCAAGAGGCTGAGGCAGGAGGCTCACAGGGCCCAGGCCATCCTGGGCTACATAGTGAGACCCTGTATCAAAAAAGAAAGGAAAGAAAAGAGTGACAGACCAACAGATTGGGTTGACGTGTAGAGAAGGGAGTCAGAGCCAATGTGGGTCAGCCATCTGGAGCCGTAGTTCACTGGTCCCTGAGGACCACTAGCTGCCCAGTATTTGAGATGGATTCAACTTAACATCCCAGGAGATCTGAGGCATATAAATAGGAATCTGCATGACGAGGGTGCTTGAATTTCTCATTCTGTGCCGGAGAACTACCATTCCACAAGCAGCCACTCGACCTTTGGAATGTTCTTGTGCCTACCACTCCTTTGAGAGCTTTGTCGGTGCTTTTCTTAGAACATCCATGTTTGACTTGAATCAGGCAGGAAAGATGGAAGACTCAAGGCCCAGCAGATGAAATGACCTGCCTAAAGGTAGGCAACATGCTAATGGTAGCTTCAGAACCCCCGTCTCTCTCAGGAAAGCTCATAGTATGCTTGAAGTCCTTTCTGGAACAAATCATAATGGCCATGGCTCCTCCAGTGGCTGGCCTGCTGTACAAGCAATCAAGTGAAGGTAGGGTGGTACCCCCAATCCCAAGGTCAAAGACCTACAATCTACACTGCATGGAACCCTGGGCTGGCTGGACGCCCCTGCCCTTACTCAGTTTGTCACCTATGAATTCCTTGCCTCATCTAGACTAGAGCAACTCTAGGCATTCACACCGCTGCCCAAACTCCAGCCCAATGGTCATTGTCATGACAAGTCCAATAAGGGGGTGGGAGGGGACTCCTTCTTCTAAAAGGAAAGCTTAATTCTAAAATATTGGTTCTGCTAGGCATTTATAAGCTTTGATGGTCTCTTGTATACAGATATGGAATTGAAGTGGGGATAGTACTTCTGTGAGATAAGACCAGAGCCCTTCTTCTGCCATTCTAAACCCTCCATGATCCCACCCAGCTAACCCTGCCAGACACATCTCGTCTCTCCCACTCTGAGCCTGGCTGAATGGAATTGTACTTGTAATTTCTAGAATAGAAGGAATGTTTTACACCTATTGCTTCCTAGACCTGAATCTCCCTTCTCTTTCCCTAACAACTCAGACGTGGGCATCTTCTCCAGAAAGCCCCCTAAGCTTTTTGTGCTTTCTCTGAATCGGTCACCATATTCACTGGCAGTGCTGTCATTGTGAATCTTCTCCTCTATGGATCTATGAGTGACTGGATGGTGGGGATCTTGTGAGTGGCCTTTGTATCCTCATCTGACACAAAGGTACTGCTCAATCGATGTCTAGAGAGGGAAAGGGAGAGGGAAGGAAGCAGAGAGAGGAAGGAACCAAGGAATGGAAGTTTAAAGAACTGGAGATTTAAAAAAAAACCTTAGTTCTGTAATAGAATAACTTCCACCAAGCTGAGCTGGTGCCCTGGGGCCAGGTCAGTGGAGGTGTCTGGCAGGGCCAAGAGGCCCACTAGCTAGAGATTTGGTAGCCAGCTGGAATGTTGGCAAGGGACTGGTGTAAATGACTGAGGTGCCTCGTGGCTCTGTACAGCTCAGGTTCTTTGAACATTGTTATTGGTTTGTTTTATTTTTTTCAAATGTTCATTTAAGCAGCCAAAAGTATCGCCCCAGATGGCTGTCTAAACCAGTAGGGTTTGGGAAGCCATCCAGCCTCCCCTCACCCCTCTCTTCCACATTCTTCAATAGCCCAGCCTGGCTTGCTATGAACCAGCCAGGGCTGCCTACCACCCTTGTGCAGGATGACCTTGGGAAGCAGGGAGGGCTGGACTAGAACCCAGGCCTCAGCCCCAGTCCTAGCCCAAAGCTGCTTTCTCTCTCTGCCCTCTAAACACAGAAAGAAGAAAAAGAGAGAACCGGATCCCTTCCTGTTTTTTTTCCAAACAGTTTCTTCCACCCCCTTCTACAAGGATTATTTCTCTCTGGAGATACTCCGGATACTGCTTTGCTTTGCTAGGTGACCTTGAGTGAGTCCCTGCCACTTTCTGAGCTTCCATTTTCTTACCTGCCACATGGAGACGCTCTTTCTTGGGACTGTGGGTGGAGGCCAAATCTCAAGGCTCCATGAAGGTGAAGGTCCATCCCATCTCAGGCTCAGGGCTTACTTTTCCTTCCAGGACTCCAGGCTGCCATGGGCTGGGAATAGGTGGCAGGAAGAAAAGGTGGGAGACCAGCATGCCTTGGGGAAATCTCTTCCATCCCCAAGTTGTGCTTTAGGAAAATTGGTTTTGAATGGGATCCAACTCTAAGATGCCTTTCTTGAGCTTCCAGGGACAAGTGATACTCAGACTTCTTGGGTCCCTAATGACTGAGGTGGTCAAAGAAGGATTCAGCCCAAAGTAGCCCAGGCCACTGCCCCTGCCTGAGCTTCACAGGGATTGCAGATGGCTCAGCTCCTCTACTGTACACACATGCTTCAACTCTCACTGTACTTGGAAGGTTCTCATGGTATTGTTCTTAATCACGATTTCCCTCACCGCTGTGAATTGTCATGAAGAGTTCTTTTAAGAGTATAATAGAAGACAAAGAAAGATGCTATTAATGTTATTTTGCCAAAAATATTTTTGTAGCATAATATATTAATAAAACACATAATGAACTGGACGCTTGGTGTTTCTGCGTGCTGATAGCTCCCCACCCACACCACACGCCTCCTGCTGGAGCATGTTTGGAGAAATGGCCTGTGCTGAGCGCCAGAGCCTGTGGCACTGGCACAGATAACTGGAACACACTTTGGCTTGAGCAGACCTGGTGGCTGGAGAAGCCTTGGACTTAG